TTTAGGTCTTCAAGACCAGACGATAGGGAAGTCAACGGCTGACGTAATGTTTCCCATTCTCTTCGAAACAGCTGTCCATATCTTTATGTATGTTGAAATTAAACAAAACAAAACAAACTAATATCACTTTGGACAGAGAATAATAGTATTGCTGGATTTCATATCATGATGCTACAGAATTAGCACAGAGTATTCTTAGTGTCTCTTTTTCTTTAGAGTATCTGTTCATTACATTGTGCATTATATAATCTATTCTCATAAACTGTTTAGAAGTTCTACACATGCGTGAATCTCTACATGTATACCTATCCTTTCTGTACTAGAGGGAAAAACATATCAAAACAAGACAATAAACAAATACCTAGAAAAACATGAAAAAGACATATAAAACCACAATACTAGGTGATCTACAGGGCCTACTATGATGTCTCTTGTTATTTTCAATAGAATTTTCTATATCAATAGGCATAATATAATTGAACATAGAAATACACAGCAATATTAATAAAAACAAAACTTTGGAGACATTATAGAACTTCAAAAGCAGTTAATAATCAAATCAGAATAGGTATCCCATTGCATCTTGTCATCTTCAGAGACTCTTAGAATTGATACTATCAAGCCAAATTCATATCAAATTTGAATAAACTCAGTCAAGACAAAATAATAATCTAAAAAACCAGATTAAAATAAGATCAGTCATAGTAAGATAGTTTAAGTAATACAGGGCTTCAAGTTAAGTTAATAGGAAATTAAGGATAGTTACTGTAGTATATCCTGCTATTTTGGGGATAGCTGTCTGTGCCCTCACATCTACAAGTATACAGACTGGAACAGAATAAAATCAAACTAAACAGAGATAAGGCTAATGTGGCTTTTGAATCCTGATAACACTATTAACAATGTCCTCTGTCTTCCTTTTTTAGACAGTTCCTTCCTTTTTCTTTCTTAGGGTGCTTTGTACATTTTGGGTCCCACTAACTCCTTTAGTTTTTAGATTGCAGGGCAACCCACTATCTACCTAAGTGGTTCTGAACCTTTTTACTCCTGAGCTCAATCTTGAGCTGTATTCCTTTACATACTAAAGCCTCAAGGGTTTCCTTCCTTGTAGCTAAGTAGTTCTCCACTACACAAAGTGTCATTAATTTCCAAATTATCTGAAGCTGCTGGATGAGCTGTCTCTATTTCTCTCTTGTTCCCTGTCACACAGGGCATTGTTTTCTCATCTTTGAATTTTGGTTTATTAACCCCTTCCAGGTAATTATACTTCCTATTCAGAGCACCTCAGTCGACCCTATCTCCTAATTCCCTCTGCCTGTGTTTCTTTTGTTAGTGTATCAGGGCTACGTATATTGAGATTATAGCCCACCTTCACTGCCTCATCTCTGCTATGCTATTTTTCTGCTGTCAGTTATCTACTTTTCTCCTTCATTCCACTGTCTGCCCCATTCATAGAGTCCTCTCTGCCACTGTTGCTGGAATCTTGGTGATTTTTTTTCTCTCTCTTTCTAGAATCTCCTTCAGTATTTTTTGTAGGGTTGGCTTTTGGTCATGAGCTCTTTGTCACAGTTCCTCTTTGTTATGGAAACATTTTGTTTCTCCATTAATTTTGAGAGACAGTTTTTCACGGTACATCAATCTGGGTTTGATGTTATTTTTTTTTCGGGGTTTGGAATACTTCACTCCAAGCTCTTCTTGATTTGATAGTTTGTGTTGTGAAGTGTGTCATGATTTTGATGGATTTTCCTTTATATGTGATCTGTTTTTCTCTGACCACTTTCAATATTCTATTCTTGCAATGAATTTCTGTGATCTTGATTATTGTATGTCTGTGTGTAGATCCGTTTTGGTTGTAGATGGCTGGAGTTCTAAATGCCTTACATATCTGAATATCTTTTCCTTTTCCTATGCTTGGGAAGTTTTAATTATTTCTGTGAATAGGCTTTGTATTTCATTTGTGTTTACTTCTGCTTCTTTGCTCACATTTTTTTCTTCTTAAATGATAGATCCTCTTGTCTTCTTCTAGCCTTTGTATTGTTACTTCTTGGTTCTTTGTTATTTGTAAGAGATCTTTCCTTTCACAATCACACATTACAATTCTGTCTTCAAGTTTTGTAAGTGTGCCTTTAGTTTCTGTGAAGGAATTTTGCCAACTTTCAATGGAGTTTAATTTCCTGGTAAGCTCTTTGGATCTGTTTCATGTATTCTAGATTTTGTTTATATTCTTCATGAAAGGTTTCTCTCTTTTGGGGTTCCTCCATTCTTCCGTGTTTTCTTGAGAGATGCTTAGCATTTCTTTTATTAATCTTTTTATATCTTGTTTCATTTGAATTAGAATTTCAGTTTTAAGTTCATCTATGAGGTCATGAAGGAATTTATGTCCACTGATGCTGTATCTGATATTGCATGTTTGCTGCCCTCAGTTTCTTCTGTATTTACCTTTCCTGGACTTATTTTCCCTGGGTCAGTGGCTGGAGGCTTTTTCTTTCTCTTGCCATGTTTCTGGTTTCTTTCAGACAGGTGTATGGTGGAGATCTCAGGCCCATTCCATATCGCTTATGGATTTTGAAGCCTGCTGGCTAGGCGGATTGCTGCCCTCCCATATTACTGTTGATCTGTGAGGTGCATGCAGGGACAGTGTGTGCTGGCCCCTTTCCTCTAAGCCAATCCACCAGTGAGTGCCTTCACCCCGTTAAACGGTGCTGTACAGATGTCACAGATTTGGGAGTTTCCTCCCTGGCTTGGGGAGGGTCCCAGTCAAGGGTGTAACCCAATTCAAGCAGATCCCACCAGTCCTCTCTGGGCAGGGAGTGGCAGACTGACAACTCTGCAGTTCGAGGTTCAGTTCGAGGTTCGAGGTTATGCCCAACTCCAATATGTTGTCCAGCTGGTCGCCCCCTCTGTGGGACCCAACTCCTAGCACTCACCATGGCTTAGTGCAGCTCTCCATGTTTGTTCTGCACTCTGTTGTGCCACATCCTCCTGCCAATGGCCTTAGGCTCACAAACCCCTGACTCCAAGGTGCACCCAGCACAGTGCAAGACCAGCTACAGTGAGGGTGCATCTGGTTCCAGCCTTTTGTCCGCGTTTTTTTCCTTCTTTCCTTCCTTTTCTTTTTTCCCCTCAGTTTCTTCCTGGGTCATGAGAATCCCTCTCCTTTCATTTGCTGTACTCCATGGTGTTAAATTCTTAAGAGTCTGAGTTGTTTTTCTCAGAGAGGCTCTCTGCCCTGCTACCTATCAATCCACCATCTTCCAAGGATTTCCTCTACGTTTCAAGATTAACTCACTAATTTTTTTTTTACATCCTGTGTTCATACTAGCAACTGATCTGTATTTTTAGATGTTAATTTTAGAACAATAACCAGACAGTTTTTCTAAATTTCCATAGTTAATGTGACCAATATTATTGGAAAAGCTGCAATTTGAACTAATTTCCCCTGGATATCAGTCTAATGTATAGTTTTTACACTGTACAGTACCTTTAGATAGAGCAATTATCAATTATCACATTAGAAATGGGTAAAATAAAACAGTTCACATATGTAGACAAAAAACATTCTAAGGATTTGTGTAAATGGGTATATGACTCAGCATCATTCCTAAAAGAAGGAAAATGGGAAGTTTCCTAAATATCAAAGCGTAGACTTTATTAAATTACAGAACACATCCACACAATATTATTTGGTCAATAAAAGCACATTTTAGATAAATAATGGAAAGGAAGAGGGAGAGAAAGGGACAAAAAATAAAATGCTATGGACATGTACCAATGCCCAGTGATGAATGTAATCATTTTGTACTTAAAACATGTACTAATAAAAATTAAAAAAATTTAAATGACACAGGAAAATACATGAAAAGAAAAAAAATCTTCAAAGAAAATGTACCAAATGACTAATAGTGGTCTCTTTGGTGAGGAGAAAGAGATAATTATGTATTTTTTCATTTTAAAATTAGATTATGAGTCCTATAAGAATATGAGCTGGAAATAAGCAAATTAACTATAAAATAATAAGATAAAATTGGCTTCATTTTTTTCTGCAATATTATACAAAAGATAAAATAACATAATAACATGCACAGAGCATTATTGGAAATAAAAGCTTATAGTCTACTAATTATTCTTTTAATTAGTGTTTGTTATACTGAATAGGAGGTTTTGTGTGGCATACTTGAACAAGTATACAGCATATTTTTATCCATATTTTCTCCCCTGAAATGTCCTTTAGTATTTAGTATTAGGATAACAGTAATATTAAGTAATGAATTGGTATATTTCTCTCTTCCATTTCCTAAAGAGATTGCATAAAAAAATGGTATTGATTCCATTTTAAATGTTTAGTGTGCTGTAACTTTGGCCTGGAGAGTTTTTCTTTGGAGCTTTAGCATTGTGAATTCCTTTGTTCAATGGTAAAGGCTGATTCCGGTAATCTACTTTCTCCTGGAGGCATTGTCAGCGCATGCTATTATTTTATCATCTAACTATTCAGACTTACTCTGTTTAGTTTTGGTAAACATCATTCTTGTTACACATTATTATATTTTTCTCATAAATGGGTTGATTATAATTTTATTCTTACCATGCATAGAAAAATATATGTGCTGGCTTTAAAATGATTACTGTCTCTAACATATTTATTATTTCTGTTTATCTCATGGAAGGCTATATTTGCATATTCCACAGGATATAGCATCTGAAAGAAGGACATTTAGTCATGAAAGGGGAAAAGGCAAGTGAAAACAGAATTCATTTCTTCTTTTTAAATCTAATTTTATGTGCAACTATTTTGGAAATTATCACTGTGTAATCATTTATCTGAGCTGAGTTGTCTGGGATTAATATGTAATCTATTAACAGGTGATTTCTTACTGTTATGTTTTTTTTCTTTGTAATTCTGTATTATGTGTATCCTTACACCGCTTTGTTTTGTGTTTTTCTCTTTTTCCTCTTAAATAAAATTAAAAAAAAAACTATACAAGAAACACATCCATATTTTTGCTGAGCTAAATTATTTATTCCAAAAGTTGACTACGTTTTTAAAAACAAAACCAATAAGACAAATGAAGATGCCATCCTCTGAATTTCTATAGGTCAAATATGATGCAGCAGGACTAATGATGATGCTAGTCTTTTCTTTTTTTATCATGGTGCTTCAGGAGACATGTAATTCTTTATTTGATCTCTAGTGACCTAAGTCCTATGAGTGTACAGCCTTCAAAATTCTGATCTTGATTCAAATCATTAAATTTAAAGAATGAATGCTCTATCAAAGTCCACAGATGTTATAGACAATGCTTCTTTTTGTAAATTGCTGTACAAATCAAATTTTTCTAAATATCCAGGAGACTATGTAGTACCTCTATTTGGCATCTAACTTATATCTAACCTATCTAGAGTTTTTATCTTGGTTTTGTCTCAACCAAATGGTGCACCTGTTTTCCACTAGTCCTGCACAATGCGTGAGTTTTAGTATATTTTATCTTCACATCTGCAAGTAGCCTTGCACTTTTCCACAAGCAATTGATGTTCACAGCCAGCTGTATTCTTCAAAGACTCGCAGTTACTAAGGAGATCTTCATACTCACAACTGTTGGCTGAAACAAAAACAAACTTGGTTATTTTACTGTCATTTTTCACAGTGGTAAAACAAACTGCATACTCTACATACATGGGCGAGGAGGTGGGAGTGAACAGACAAGTTAGTGCCACTCACAGTGTGATAGGCTCTTTATGTCTTGAAAGCCACATGAGTGCCTGACTTTCAGCTCACCTAACATCATCTTTTAAAATGTAGATTCAGTGATATATTTCTAAAACTAATTGAAACTATGGTCTCCCTCAGCAGACAGAATAAAGTGAATATAAACACATCCCTACATCTGCAAAATTCAATTGGGAAACACTACTAGCCATATATAGCTATTAGTTTATATTAAACTAAACTAAATTAAATATTTCAGCCTTTTAATCTTACGGGCGCTCCATTTCAAGTGTTCAGAGGCCATAATGAACTAACTAGTGGCTAAATTTATAAGACACATTTAGAACAGTTCTACCATCTTACGTTATTAGACAGCATGGGTTTTATACTCCAAAGCTTTCTTTCTGGAGCACATTATCCTTTATAAGTGTATGTAGATATAAAACAAGAATTCCATTCTTTTTGGATGTTCTCCAAGAACCTCAAGCTTTACAAATTTCAAACTAAAATTGTCATACGACTCATGAGGCTGACAATTTTTTAGATATGGCTTCTTATACCTTTCCTACATGACTTCAAGTAAAACAGCACTCTAGCTATTCACTTAAGTAACTTGAACTTCCCTGTTGACAAGACCCAACAAGTACAGGTAACAAACACTGTCTATTCTTGTTCATCGTTTATTCTGTCAGTGTTGCAGTAATGTGCTCATTTTTTTTTAAAGCCATGTTTTTCAACAGATCCATCACTGGTTTTCTTTTGGTTTCTGCATACTATGATGAGGAACCCATTTATAAAACGTTGATTCTTTTCGTCCTTTAGTTAATTCTTTCTATTGAGTGCTGAGTGTTAATTACAAACTTCTTAACAAATAGCATTCAGCAGAGTTATAAGCTTTCAAGTGTTTTTGTTGCATTGCTTTATAGCTTTAATATCTTCAATATTCCAAAGTACATAATTATGCAAATAAGTCAGAAATATGCTAAGTAAAAGTGAATGCATTTGACAGCAAAAACCACGTGGGTCAATTTTGTCATTCATAATTCTAATAAAACTATCCTAACCACAAAAACCATGATCATTTAACTTCTACTCATGACAAAAATGAGATACATGACCTTTTACTTTTCCCTTGTGCCATAAAATTTTGTGAGCCAGTACTGTGTACATATTGGATTTTGTCATTAAAAATGTTCATAGCAGTACTATTAAATTGTAGATCAAATGACGATTTATTAAGATAAACACTATGATCCTAATTGTACTACAGAACTTGAGAATATCAGCATGATGAGTTTATTGGCATAAAATAAAGAATAATATTTGTGTTCAGTCTAGACTGAGCCATAGTATGGTCTCAATACCCTTAGATTTGTGCAATTTGATTTTTTAAAATACTACTACTTTTGGCACAGTTAACATGGATGAAATGATGTACTTGTCATAAGAATATAAATGTTACTAGACTCTGCACAGGTAAAAGTCAAAGATCACAGAGTTTCTATTATAATATGCATGGTATATTCTTTCCATTGAAAACAGAATGTAGGCTACTGAAGTGTGTAAAATATTTACATCCACATTACTGAGTATTTGCTCTGGTTTTCTTAGGAACCCATCATTCAATTGATTAGCAAATTTCTTAATTCATTAAAACAAAAGAAAAAGTCAACTGCATTTTAACAGCAAGTTAGTCACTTCGTACTTACTGCATAGTCCATTTTCACAATGTCCAGGGCAGCTGGCACAAGGTATTCCTTGTTTATAAGGAGTGTTCTTTGTATACACATTATTACCACTGAAATTTAAAACACACAGTGTCAAACGTTTTTCAATTTGTTGTTTGGTTCACATCACAGGCATCAGTCACCAAATATACACAGTTATCACTAAAAAAAAGTTATTCACTGGCTTTAGGTATGTCAACAAAACTAAAAAATTATAATTAGTATCACAGTGTAAATTCACACATGACCCATTTGTTTGATCATAATTCCACAGCCTAAGCATCTAAAGTAAAACAAATAATGTCTAGCATTTTCAGAATATTTTTCACTATGGTAGCATCCTCTTCATCTCTGAAAAGATTCAGTTAATTGGCTAAGACAGTGGACTTCAAGCAGCTGACTAATGGCAAGATGTGAGAAAGATGAAGATTCTGGAGTTAGCTGGCTTCATTAATGAGAAAAATATTTAATATTATCATAACACTGTGTATTTTAAAAATGACAAATATATAAATATGTAAAATATTTAATATGCAAAATAAAGCTTCTGCATCTTTTTTCTTGATAGGGATAGTGGTTTCTCGTTCATTGTGTTTGTTAGCAGTGTGTGCTTAAGGATGCTTTGTGAGTTTCTTGAGATGGAATGTGTAAGATTTTTCTGTTTATCAAAACAGGAATGTTAGCTAAAAAAACAAAAAAATAAAAACAAACACTAATATCCAGACTACAATGATCTTACACTGATTGACTCAGTGACAGACATTATCTTATAGCCCATTATCCTGTCCTGAGCAATGTGAAAATGCTTAGTAATCCAAATCTCAATAGTGCCAAGTAGGGCAACAGGTTAAGGTAGTGTAACTGATTCTCGGTCCCCAGCCACAGAATATAGTTGTATTTATGTGAGCGTCTGGAAAAAAATGTGAAATAGATATAAAGGAATGCTTGAAATTGTTTTGCACATGCTTCCCTTATTATTCGTTCCTCCTGGGCCAGGCCGTAAGTTTAGAGGCATTATCCTGGGACATTTGAATCCCACTAAACCCTAAAAGATGTTTGCAGGAAGATAATCTGAAAGGTCCAACTTAAACGGGATCCCCCACCACCTTGGTTATTTACAGTCTCTAAACAAAAGCTGTGTGATGCTTAGCTTGAGGCTCCTCTTCCTTTAAACATTAAAATATTAAAACTAGCAAACATGTTGTGAATGTGTCTTTAGTACAGGACTCTCTTTTGTGGATAACGTCAGACACATTTAATCAAGGGTCATGCTTTTTGCTACAAGTCCTCAGATCAGGGTACTGAAGTTTTCTGTGACAATGCTGAGAAAGTTCTGAAAAATCTCTGAGACCCAAAAGAGTGGATAGTTTATAATGGTAACAATAAAAACATTTTTAAAAAGGTATTTGGAAATATGGGAGAAGAAAGTGCTGAAATCACAGTACTTCAAACCCTATTTGCAATCCCCTGGAAAGCTTCAGATTTTATACTTGATCTGTTCTCTGATAAATAAAAGGTGTCTTATTAAACTTTAAAAAAAATTCAGGATTGCCTTTGATATTTTAGGGATCTTCTGGTTCCAGATGAATTTTAGGAATGTTTTCTCTAATTCTATGAAGTATGTTAATGGTATTTTGATCAGGATTGCATTAAATTTGCACAACAATTTTGGGACTTTTGGTTCTATGTTGGTTCTTCCTATCCATGAGCAAGGGATATCTTTCCATTTTCTGATGTTCTCTTTGATCTCCTTTTTAGAGTACTGTAATTTTTAATATATTTTACTTCTTTTTTTAGATTGATCCTAGGTATTTCTTGGATACTATTGTGAAGGGAAAATTTTCTCTAATTTATCTCTTAAAGAGTTTGTTGTTGGTGTACAGGAATGCTATTGATTTCTGAGTGCTGAGTTTGTATCTAGTATGCTAGCGATTTTGGTTACTAAATCTGAAAGTCTCTTGTTGGAGCTTTTGGGGTCTTCTATGTAAAGCATCATGTCATTTGTGAATAATGATAATTTAGCTTCTTCCTTTACTCTCCTTATTCCTTTGCTCTCTCTTGTCTATATTTCTCCGACTAGTGTTTCCATGACTATATTGAATAGGAGTGGTGATAGTGGACACCCTTATCTAGAATAGCTAAGACAACACTGGTCAACAAAGATAAGGCAGGAGGCACCACCATCCCTCACCTGAAATTATACTACAAAGCTACTGTGAAAGAAATTAGCATGGTACCAGAAAAAAAAAAAATCAGACCTGAGCATCAGTGGGATAGATTAGAAGATTCAGACACAACTACAAACACACTTAGCCACCTTATCATTGACAAAAGGGTCAAACATGTTCACTGGAAGAAAAGAAGCCTATTTAATAAATGGTGCTTTGTCCAATCAGTTTTTCCACTGACTCTCTGCTTGTCAAAAACTAAAACTAGATCTGTCTATCACTTATGCACTAGACTAACGTAAAAATGTATCAAAGATCAAATATTAAAACAGAAACACTAAATCTATTGGAAGAGAAAGTAGATAGAAATCTTGACGACATAGGTGTAGGCAGAGACTTCATGAACAAAACCCAGACTTCAATGAGAAATACTTCAAAGAATCAACAATGATTGCACAGCAAAATAAATCAACAAAATGAAAAAATAATCCACAAAATGAAGAAAAAATTTAGCCAATTGTCCCTCAGCCAAAGTCTTTTATCAAGAACATACAAATAATTGAAAAAAAATCAGGCCCCCAAATTCAAAGACGCAGTCCAAAAATGGGCAACTGAGATGAATGCACATTGCTCAAATGAACTACAAATAGCAAATAATGAAAAAATGAAAAATGTTCAACATCATTGGTCATTTAAGAAATAAAAATTAAAACAATACTGAGATTCTACCTCAATCCAGAAAAAATGGCTACTTTCAAGAAATCAATGTATACTGGTACAATTACTGAGGAAATCAGTGCAGAGATTCCTCAAAAACCAACCACCTATTCCCATTCTGAGTATCTTCCCAGAAGAATTAAAAACATCACACCCCAGCAATACATGTGCATCCATATTTATAGCAGCACGATCTGCAATAGCTATCTCTATACCCATCAATTGAGAAATAGATTAAAAAGATGTATTTTTTATGCAATGGAGTGCTACTCAGTCATAAAGAAGGATAAACTTGACTCTTCTATAGGTGAATGGATGAGATTTGAGATCACACTCATAAGTGAAATATATCAGACTTGAATTTGTAAACATTATATTGTCTGATTTGTATAAGAAATTGAAAGAGTAAGTAAGGTCTAAAAGGTACACTACTGTGAAATGGGAAGAAACTGTGCAAAAGGGAAAATGAACTAGGATGGGTGAAAGGGGAAAGGAGAGTAAGTAAAAGGGAAAAATGCAAATCACTTTTACTAATAGTGTCTCATAGTTCATTAAAAAGGTTTGTGCTAATATTGATTGAAGAAATTTTTATGCCCTTATCTTGTACCCCAAGCTATTACATTAAAGATATCATGTAATGTATTAACTATTGTTATCCTATTTTGTTATGAAAGTTTCTTTCACTTTTTACAAAATAATTCTTTATAAAGTTCCAATAACATATACTCTCTTCATTGAAATGTGTTTATTATGGCTTGTTTAATATATGAGAGATGTTAAATATTAATATATGAGAGATTTTAAATATTAAATTGCAGGTGGCATTATTAAACATGTGCATACTTACGCAGGACAGTATTGGCAAACGTAGTAGTATTTTAGACTGTCTTGATTGGGGCAGTAGGCAATTCCACAGCCAACAAGATAAGACGAATACCAAACAAGCTAGGAATCCACAAGGGAATAAACACATTAAGAATATATTACAAAAAAGGGGGAATAGTAAGAAAAAATAGCAAATATAGCACTGAAAATGTTACCGAGGACAGTTTTGTAGCCATATCATTTATAAATTAGTGAATCAAAGTCACAATTTAAAACACTTTTTCATGCACATTCAGCATTTTTCCACTTGAAATGTAGAAACATTCATGTATGCTTCTCTGGCAAGAATTTCTTAGATAAACAAAAGTGACAAATCCAAGAATATCTTATGCAAGACCAGCCTGTGCTACAAAGTGATCCCAAGGCCAGCCTGAATTTCATAGTGAGACCCTATCTCAAAAAGATAAAACAAGACAAAAACAAAAACCAGTATCTTATGTATACACAGGCTGATATCACAAACTGAACACTAAAGGTAGTCATCATTTAGAGAGGCTTTCTGTAGTACAATATTTGTGGCAGAGATCTCTCTTCTCCTTACCTGTGTGTAATGTCCAACAACCGCATTGTGACTCTTTGGTCCTACTCCAAAGGTAAAATCTTGGCTCTCATCAAACCAGCTTTGGATTGCATCTGACCAGGAGCTAGGGTCACTTGACATATAGAGATTCTCACCACATTTGGTGCCTGAGAAGGAGCAGGTCCAAAATATAAATTTTTGAGTAGGTTAAGAATATCTCATTCTTTGAAAACTCTTTCCCTTCTTGATTGTCAAAGATGCAATCATTTCAGTGCTCAGTTTTTGCTCCGGGATTGTCAGCTTTGTATTGTAAGCTTGCTAACAACAACATCAATTTTTACACTTTCTCTCCTGCTCTTTCTACACCATCAAACATTTTTTACAACTAAGGGCTCTAAAATATGTTTATGACTTCATAAGAAATTATTTAAAAAGCCTTTGCAGGCAGTCTTTAGCAGTACCAATCAAGACACAACTGACTGCAGGAGCAAATACAAGTGTCAAATTTTATGTGTCTTTCTTAACTCATGAATCAGAATGTCACAAGCCCATATTCTTTTAAAAATTAGGTAAGAAGTGCTTGAAGACCAGAAAATGCTTCCCTACCTACCTAAGCCCTTAAGATTTACATTTTAGAAGCTTAAAATGTAGTGTCTTTAAGCTGCCTAGAAAAATGAATAAAATGTTCTTAGATATACCCTTTTGTTAAAATAATAAATCTAACAGTACACTTAGATCTTTCAGACTCTCGGTGGTAATCTCTGCATAACTTCATTATTACTATAATGAAGAATTACTATCAACAATATAAATAACACTTCAACTGAAATAATTGGCAAATAATTCACTGCTTTTACATGGTTAATTGCCTGTATCACTCTTGTTAATGTAAGTAAATATGCCATGAAACATTCATGTGTACTATTTCTCCCTCATTTTTTTATAATTTTGCTGTGTTTTTTTTTTGCCAGTTTAGCATTCTGTACATCAAAAGCACTGACTGGGTATAGCACTTGATTGGCTGACATAATTTAAATGTAAACATTCAAAATATTAATTTATGTGAGTTTTGAATATGACATTAATATAATTTTAAAGGTTAAATATTTTTAGAGCAAAACTCAGGAAAAATTCAACTAATTTAGTATATTTTATGAATAAAAATAGACTTCACAACACCAAACAGCTATATATTGCTACCAGCCCCTTAGTACTTGTATAGCCTCAGGTTCATCTGCTTGCCACTGAGCAAATCACAGACCATTCATTTTGGTAAAAAGGAAAGCTGGCTCTGAGGACATAAAGAGGCCTTTTCCCCCAGTCTCTGTCCTCTGTTTGCTATACAGGTGTGTCACAGTGTTGTGTAGCAATGAACAGTCCAGGGTGGGGATCCACTGAGGCAAAAGACAGGTTCAGTCATGTTTTCTCCCTTGCTGGACCCAATCCGACCTCTCTTCCCCCTCCCATGAAAATGAAACTGGACTTTGACCTCTTGATATCAGTGTCTGCACACTCTGTGGGTTCACCTGGATAAGGAGATGTAATGGCAGCTAATGCTCTCGGTCTGAGGAAGCTTGACAAAGCCACTTGTCTGTTAAGTAAAAAATCTGAAGTTTCATTTTGCTGGGCCAGTTACCACATACAGAAAAGACAGCATGATAAAAATCAGAAACTTGGTTAAATTCCTTGTGTGATACCACTTCAGTGTGTTTAGTCTGTTTTGGGCAAGTCCTGTCTTTCTTAAGTCTTGGTTTTCTAATCTTTAATGTTACAAAATAAGTTATAAGCATGACAGCACACATTTTAAATCCAAACACACTAAGGAGGCTGAGGCGGAAGGGTCACTGTAAGTTGGAGGCCACTCTGGGCTACATAGTGAATCCAAAGCCAGGCAGAACTATACAATAATACTTTGTATCAAAGAAAAAATGTGATATATGATACTGTCTGAGAAATAATTTGCGTAATATAAACAATATCATAACTATACATACATACAGAACATCTGATTTAAAAAGAGTAGAATAAGCAACATTTATTTGGGAATTATTCTTAATGCAATATCCTACAAAGATCTATTATAATTGTATTTTTGTTCAACATATATTTGCTAATTTACATACTGGTTTTTCGATCGTCTGGATTACTGTGTACTAATGTACACCTATTTGCCCACTTTTGTGCATTTACTGCTGCTTCTCTGCTCCATTCCTATATGTCACAAGAAAAAAATATACTTAATGATTTGATCACAATAAAATATATAATTTGATTGATGAGAAATGCTTCAAACTTCCATAGAAGTATTATCTAATTATCATTTTTATTAAAATTGGATTTTTGGTGTATATTTACCTTCATGAAGATCAGTTTTTACACAAAGTCCAGAGGTAATGTGTCCCAGGGATAAATATCTATGGTAACTACCATTTCTTGTACACATACTTAGGGTTTTTAGGAATGTACTTCTTTAAATAGTGATTAAACTCATGAAGGGGCAGTTATTACTAGTGTCTTTCAAGCCCACTGCTTTCATATGGGTGATAGATGCTTTTAAGGATGTGCCCGGGAAGGGCGCTTATATTTACATAAATAATTACATCAATTCTGAAGAGAAGGGATTGATTTAAGACTAGAAAAGTATAATGATTTCACATATTATTAAATTCTGAAAGATAGATTTGACTTTAACTTGGCTTTTGAAACCTAATAAACCTGTAACGTTGATAAATTTCACAACCTAAAAATAAACAGTCTTATTGTTGCAACATTTCAAATAAAATAAGAAAATACAGACTGAACGTTGTATTTCACAAAAGAGATGAGTTCTAAAGAGATGCTAGTGACAGCTTCTTGGTTCCTACATTACTGCTTCTTACCATCTTTAGCATATTGCTGGCAGGAGGGGTGACAGATTTCCGCAGTTGATTGTGTTTATTTATAATCTCATTTTGCACTTGAGATTGGGTGGTTATCAAAGCGGTAAATGCTGGATCCTAAGGAAAACAAAATTAGAATCTTGTTTATTTTTTTGGTATCTGGGATTGTACTCATACCTTGCCCTTGCCAGGTAGGTGCTGTGCTGCTGAGTAATATCCCTGGCTAGAATCATTTTTAAAGATTTTCAAAATTGCATATGATAGTGAATAATTTTGAGGGAATGAGATCATAAGTGTATTAATACTAGGTTATTACGTGATATTGGTATTTGAAGCAAACATTAGCTGTTAAGCATTACTACTCAATCTGAACCAAAAGTGTGATTTTCAAGTAGGACAGCAATGCACTTTAGCTCTGAAAATGAGTGACAGTTCATGGAAGGACACATTAGAAACTCCTCTGTGGCCACAAAGGCCAATTTCTAGTTTCAAAGGTGCGTTCAATGTGATTTCTAATAAATAAATCAGTAGCAATATTTTACAACCACAATCCTTTGTAAGAGGTAATTTAAGACATTCATTCACATTTGATCAGGCCATAGCAAAATGAGGTGAGCAGAGCCCATGACTCATTACAGGAAGCTTTGCCCAGATGTGGTGTCTGTAATCAGAGAACTAATGCTTAAACCAAGTCAGATGCATGTTTCAAGCAAAACAAGTTTAATTATTAAGTTTGCGTATTTTTCATTGTAAGTCTGCTTACATTTTAGCGTTGCTCTTCAAGGTCATTTGGAAGGATAAACTTCATTTAATGAGCAGACTATTGCTGACTTGGTTCCTTTCAGTAACAGAAATGTAATTGATGAGCTATTCAGGTGTTGATATCTTCAATTTATCTTTGTGCGTGTGTAGATATGGGCTTATGCCCACTGGTAGAATAGGATATATGAATTGTTGGTATAAGGTTTTAAATGGACACAGGAGTATGCTATTTCATGGGATGAGCAAGAGGAAAAGTCTAAACTGATAGATTCACTCGATTTCTCTGATATTTCGGGATTAGTTACTTGCCCTCCCTTCATACTGAGTTCTCTTGAGACTTCAAAAACTGAAGTCACAAATATAACTACATTGCTTTTGCCCTTTATTCCCTTCTGCTCTAAGGTCAGGGACTTGCAGGAATTTCCTGTACCAACAGATCTACACTCCCTTTCAGTGAAGAGGATAAAAGATATCTTGTTTCTGGTATCATTAAAGCAAAGAAGTACATTAGAAACAAGGGAATCTGAACTCCACACTTTAATTACTAATGAAGTCTTCAATTACTAATTCTGCAATTATTAAAAAAAGACTTGAGTTAGGTTTATTTTTAAATTTAAAAACAGATCTAATTCTTACACAATAACTGCAAAGAAATTGTGTGATATACAATAAATTGTTCTAATTTAAGATTATGTATCTTAGTAATTTTCTGCAAAAGTCACATGGAAATGAAATAAACCAGAAAAGATCTTGAGGTGGGAGGATTACTATTATTTATTTACCCACAGGTCGTGTTGTCCATGCAAAATGTAACGCAAGCCCAATACGCAACTATAATATAGGTGATCATGTTAAATAATATATTAAATTTTGGATAATATATTTTATTGTAATGAGGTAAATGGGAGTTCTCCATTAGGACATGTCTCAAACCCCAGAATCATGAATATGATCTCATTTGGGAAAAAGATCTTTGTAGATGTGATTTTGTTAAGGATTTAGGATAAAATGGTCTTGAGCCCTCCAAGTGAGCCTTCAATCTGATGAGAAATGACTTTGTAAAGAGATGTGTGGCGATGTGAAGGTAGGGACCGGAATGGGGAATTGAAAGAAGCCACCTGAAGCACAGAGGCAGGTTTCCTAACTCCTCCAGAAGAACTACAGCTCTGCAGAAACCTTCCTTTTAAACTTCTTGGTTCCTTAACTGTGAAAAAGCAAATTTCTGTTGTTCTCCATTAAGTTGGCAGTAATTTATTACAATGCCCTTATGAACCTAATATGCCATTCAACTGCTTATCCAAAACACTGTATTTCATCATTTAGTCAAAATAAAAGTTACTGATGTGACGTTTTGTCCTGCTTTGAATCCCATGTCGATGGAGTATCTTGCACTTGCAGTACACCTCGTCTCCTCAAGGGTTCTGCAGAGACGCAGGCAGGACTGGTGACTAACACACTGCACAGCCCTACCTGTTCCTCATCTCCACAGCAGGGCACACTGTCGTGTTCTGAGCTACAGAGACAATGGTGTGATGTACAAATCTTGTTACCTCTTCTGCTCCCAAAGCAGCTAACCATCTGATAAAGCTGTCCAATTTCCATTTAAACCTTACCTTTCCATTAGTGAGTACACATGGCAGCAGCATAGTAATGAGAAACACCACCACTGGGAGTAAGGCCATTGCTGGGAACTAAATTGAAAGAAAGCAAAGCATTGTTACGTAAACCTCAAATGTACCAATAAAAGACGACTGGAAAAAAGTAGAAATATAAAAACAGAGAAAGTACAAATATAAAAACAGAGAAAACAAATATTAAAAAATAGGTGATACATGGGACTGAAGAAGGGAAAACCTCTATAATGATCTGAGTTATTCCAAAGGAACTAGGATACATATATTCACTAACAGTGAAGCAGAGAGGACTTGCCATATAGTGCTGGCAGCATCTTTGCCTCTATAAAAATGAACTGGAGATTTTGACTGGTGCCCTTCAGGTATATCTATAAAGACTAAAGAAATCCCAGCTTCCTTTTGAAAAGTTCTCTTGCACTTTTTTCATTGAACAGACAATGTGGAAAGTAATAGTTTCCTTCACAACTAATTTTGGTAGTGGCATTCACTATTCAACTCAATTCTTTGGGAAAGTTTATTTTCAATGTCTACTGTTTTTTGTTTTGCTATTCTCTACACAAAGTAAAATTGTCTTTTCATTTTCGTTGGACGTGAATTAAGATTCCAAGGTTGTGGTTATATATAAATGTGCAAACAACACGTCAGTGGTTAATTCTCTAATGTAATGACTACAAAGCGTGTCTATTATTTCATTTGTGCATGATGTCTAATTTTCTAGTATAGAAGGATACAAATAGTCTCGAATTTTATTGTCAGTTGTCTGAAACTGTGTTAATATAATTTTGTTCCCACATGGGCAGTTAGCATGAGTAAGCAAATCGGACAGGTCTGCCTTCCTTGACCCTCCCTTTCCTCTTCTTAGGTACATTAAAATCCAGTTCATGATCTGAAACAAAGGTAGTTCAGTATTTTCGTTATCTTTTTAAGTGACATATGTTCTCTTTATTCTCAATAGTGTACCCATAAAAGAGAAAGGAATGAGAATTTATTAATGGTTTGGATAAAAATGTGCCATATAAATTTACTCTCATCCCTTAGTATGTCTATATTTTGCAGATATAGAAAATAAGCTTTGCAATAATTAACCTATGTCAACGGTAATGTCAGAAATTAGACTTCATCCAGTTATTACTTGAAGGCCAGTGTAAGTAATTTCAATTGGGAAACAGCAAATCATTGGTGTGGCACAATACAGACTTCCTATTTTTTAATAATCTCTATGTTACATATATTTTTTTTTGTCTTTTTCCTTTTTATCGGTACCAGGGATTGAACTCATGACTGCCTGCTTGCAAGGCAGGCGCTTATGCCGCTAAGCTAAATCCCCAGCCCCTCTATGTTACATATTAACAGCAACAAAAATCATTCATGTGACCACATACAGCATACATGTAGCTATACTTTTTAAATTTTCTATTAAAAGTAGTTCTATAGTGATTGCTTAAAAAGTCATATGGATTAGTTATTTTTTACAGTGAATTGTACAAACAATTCGTTTAAATATCCAACTCATACTATGTGTCCATGTAATAGTTCCATACTTACTTTCCCAATTTTAAGAAGTTGAAATCACTCTTAATTTATCAAAATTTTGAAAACAATGGATAAAGTTATTAAACCTATCTTTACTAGAATATAAAAACACTTGGCATAGTAAAATATTGACTTTAGAACAGGTGACTACTTACTGTTGGTTCTCACACCAGAGTGAACTATCTGCTTTATCTGTAGGAACAGGGAAGACGGAGAGATGAAGTGTAGTGCAAAGTATATACAACATTATACCGGATTCTGTTTCCGCAGATTCTGGTTGTACACATAAAACACTATTCTGAAATGGTATTTTTAATACTTATAGTCTCAAATTCTATTGCCAGTTGTCTGATACTGTTTTAATATTATTTGGTTCTCACACAGGCACTTAACATGAGTAGGTAAATCAGGTAGGTCCTCCTTCCTTGACCGCCCCCCTCCTCTTCTTAGGTACAATGAAATCTGGAGACTGCGTTTTGGTTTAAGGTGACACCCATGATTGATTTGTCACTAAAAAAGATAACCAAGATATGCCTTAAAGCTGGATGCTCATACCTCAGCTCCCCATTAGTTTTACTTTAGACTTACCAAACACTTGTATAGATTATTGTTTTAAGAGTACTGTTTCTGGAAACCATCCTATTTGAAAATCCTCCCTAAGCTTTAGTTTTCTCTTGTGTAAAATTTGAATTATCAAATCATAGTTTGCCTTGAAAATTGAAAGGTATAGTATATGTAAAATGTAATGTTTATTTAATACAATGCATGTATTGTTTAATAAGTGGAAGTTATTAATATTTTATCATGCTTTGCAATACCTGGAATTTTACTGAGCTCCTAAGATTTTCCATAAAAATGTACTGCTTTATTGAACTGCTTTTTTCAGACATGGTAAGAGATCTCCTTGTTCTTCTAAGCATCATAGAAAGAGAAAATCATTTAATTGAAAACTCAAGTGTTGAGGCCTGGTTCTATCAAAGATCTTCTGACTAACTTTAAGGATCTAATATCAATTTGCTGTATTCTCATCAGCTAACTGAAAGGTATACTCACGGGCCTGAAGAGTTTGAATGGCCCAATCACTGAATATGTTTGCATTAAATTACTCAGTTCTGCAGTCTGCTAGGCTACAAGATCACATACTGGGTTCAATTGCCATTTCTTTTCTCATATCGTTGTGTATTCAACCTATGATATTTGTTCAATCAATGAAAACAGTGGCACTGTTGTTGAAAAAATATTCAAGAAAAGTATTTTTTCTATGACCTAAATTTATATGGTATTCCTTTAAATCCATACTTGAACCCATCTGAAAATTGGCCTCCATTTTTTTTCCCTTGATACTTACTAACAGAAAAGTGAAGTGTCCTTTCTTGCAGGTGTTTTAAGAGCAGGACGGCATGGTTCTCACAGGAGAAACATGGTGGATGCCTTCACGGCTATAACCTTTGAAAGAAAGGTGAAGAATATTTTATAAGTAACATCTATAAATTTCTGCCACAACCTTAAAACCTGACTCAATGTTCAGTATTGTTCTCCAATATTGGCAGACTTTTCTGGAAAATCCTGGTATATTTTCAAGATTCTTGACTCTTTGGCTTGGACTTCATTTGTACACTTTTTCAAAACGTAATTTCTGTAAAGAGTGTCCTACACAAGGAGCATTGACCACAGGGATGGGAGGCGGTTGGTCACATAATCTCTTCATACATTTTCAACATGGAAATCAATAGCTAAGGAACTAAAATTCTGAATTTGGTCTCTGGAAAGACGAGGATAAGAAATGACGACTCTTTATGTGAGTCAGTCACATGATCAGAATGACTTAAGAGCTAAGCAAAGCATTCAATAGGCTCAACACAGAGAATCACATCTTAAGTCTTTGGTAGATGGGTGCTGAGCAGCACAACCCAACTACCGGCCCACCCCAAATCTTTTGTAGCCCCTCATCTCCCAGGTCTTTCTCTCTGTTAACTTCATCCTGTCTCCCAAATCCTGGTCATTTTCGGGCTCCTGGTTTGCAGGAACACTTACCCTGGCTCCACAGGGCAGACGCACCGCAGGCACCGCAGGCCCACCGCTCGCCTTTCCTCGGCGACGGTTAACAACTGCTGCTGCACGCGGGGCCGACGTCACGAGCTTTGTGCAGTCAGCATGAGCGCTCAGCTGGGCGGTTACCTTCCGGGCTGTCCATCTAGTTCCAGGACAGTATGGAAAACGGCTTGGGGGGGGGGGGGGGTCTCTGCGCAAAGCAGACTTCAGCTTTCCTCACTGCCACGGGTGGGAAAGTAAATGTTCTCATCCCTGAACTGTCAGTCCTAGAAAAGAGGTAACCCCAAGGGGTCAGGATACCCAGTGGGTCACTGAAAAAGGAAGCGCTCTGTTTTAAACAAGAGTGCCTGAATTCTTGCAGTTTAGAGTTGAAAGCAAATTGAAAAATTTCATAGATGTGCAAGTTTGCAGAGTAAGGCCAGTCAGGCACCAGAGATGCCCTCACGGGACACAAGCACAGAGGTGGAGCTGGGAGGTTTGCTCCTAAAACCACGCTGTGTTGACTTTCTTCTTCTCTTGGCAACAATTCTGTGGCCAGAAAATGTAGGGAGAGTAACAGAAATGATACCTGGAATTCCTGAAGGGCTACTGTCAGCTTCAAGTTTAGTAGATACCCCAACATGGGTTGAGAGTGTGCGGGGTCCTGTTTCTCCAGAAGCCTGAAGAGTGATAGTGCAGAAGCAGGGTTGAAAATTTGTTAGCACTGGACGACCTAAATGCTAATCCCCCTTTGCTAATGAACTGGGTAACTCAAGGGAATCAAGCGTGTATCTTCAGCTTAGTGTCTTTAAATTTGAAATGAAAGACATGTAAAATGGTCAATGAATTCTAATGTCCCCTTTTCAACTTCAAAATGCAAATTTTGCAAATTAAAGAGCGAAATTTTGCATATGTGTGTATACTACTCTAAATAGAGATTCAGTCTCTCAAAATTAATGTGCATGTTTTTATTTTATAAGGAGTGTCAGATCACATTACTCTACTAGGATACAATTGTCCAGATAACGACCAATCTCATAAAATCCCAGGTCTAAGGTGCAAGTATAATATGAATACTCAAGTAATCTACTTTTTCTTTTTCAGAAATATACATAGAAAGGAAATAGCTGGGTCTAGTTTTAGATTTTTGGAGGAATTTCCATACTAATACTCACAGTCCTTGTGTTAGTTAATCTCATTAACACTGCAGTGGAGATCTTTTCTGAAGCCTTATTATTTGATTTGTTGTTATTTGATTTCTTGCTTATTGCCATTCTTTATGGAGTAAGATAGAAATTCAGGGTTGTTTTATCTTGAATTTCTTTAATGCCCAGCAATATTGAACATTTTTTTTTCCACATACTTTTTGGCCATTTGGAATTCTGAGCCTGTATTCATTTCAGTTGTCCATTTTGTTGATTGAGTCTTTTGTTTCAGGGTAATTTTTTTCTTTCTTTGTATATTCTAGATAAGAGTGCTTTATCTGAAGAATAGCTGCACCCATGAATTCTGGCTCTATGAGAAACAGTACCGTTTAGTGGACACTGACTCAAAGCAAATACAGCCTTCTTAATACCCTATATACAACCCTGTTCATCTGTGGTTTTGTTTTCTGTAGGTAGAGTTGCATGTGATGGAACATGGTCTTAAAGAATGAAAAGCATTTCAGAAATGATCACTGAGGTTTGATGTCCCTTTTTCAACTTCAAAAATGCAATTCATACATTTGAAATCGTGCTGTGCTCTGTGTGATGAAATCTCACTCTAACCTGCTTGGTGCTGCCTGGTAAATGACTCATCACTTTGACAAGAATATGCATGCAATAGGTGCTAAATACCTATTAGTGTCTCAGTAGCCATCCCAGTTGTCAGACTGACTAGCATAGTAATTCAGCAGTTGTGCTCTGGTAACACTTATTTTACTTAATTGTAGGAAAACATAGTGTGTATAGTTTTATACAAACCTTTGTGTTATTCACAAGTGAAGTCTAAACCAAACGTTAGAGCTCTCCATGTAAGGAAGCCTAGCTGGTTTTCTGTGCCCAAAGCCAAAGCAGAACATCAGAACATAGTGATGCCCTAAGCTTTTAACATTTCCAGACTCAGTGGTTAGGAGAAAAATAACTTGCATTTGCATTATATACCTCCTCAATGAAGAGAACGAGTAATACTGTCTGGATTTATTTGAAGAAAACAACATGTTAGATACACTTAAAAGATTTGCTTCCCATATTTATATATTTGTCTCCAATTTATTTCACTTAAGAGTTTGGTCTTTCCATTGTTTTAAAAATATTTCAATATGTATGATAGTTGGTTTCATTTATGCTACTAGGTTTTCTTAATTCATTTAAAAGAAATATTTGTGTTATTATCTGTTTGTTTCATTTTTTAAGAATCTTTCTGGTTTATGTTTCATGATCCAAGTAAGTATTTGGGGGGATAACTATAGACAACGTAACAACTATTGTTATACTTTTATTATTTGATTATGAAATTTTGTTTTTCACAAAATTAAAAACTATTTTGTATTTTTAAACCTCATATAATTGCCAAAATCTGTAATGAATCCATTGATATCTTTCTATGTGTATCAACTTTACATACTATGAGTTAAGAATACTTCACTTTACAACGGGTTAAAAAAGTAAATTCTAGCTATCAAAAGGCTAAGTGTTTACTGCCGTTTTTCCAATTCTGTCACATTATTTAACTGTGTAAAGCCATGCTTTTGATAAGGCTTATTTCTAGATTTGGCTTAAAGTGCTCTGTTACTTCCTGCATTATTCAAATGGAACTATCAAAAGTGCTAAAACCTTGGGGACAGAGACCAAGTGACGAGCAGACTTTTGTATGAATTGTAGAATTAGAATAGCAAATATTTTAAAACACAGAACTGCCTGATCTTTTTATCATGTTTTATAAAGTCGAATCATGTTAAAATGTTCTAACTATATTAAAGTCTGTATTTTGTGCCCTGTGACACCTTGCTCTTTAACAAAATTTGAATTTGGAAGATTATTTTTTAATAATGAGAAGAAAGTGCACTTAGATTTAAAGATGTTCTAAAAGATTAAGCAGGACTGAATAGTAATCATATTCATTAAGTAAAAGTAGAATTGTACTTGTTAACATTAAAGGAGAAATATGTTTTTTGTAAGTGTATGTTGAATGTTCATGCAGATTTTTATTACCCTTTATCGACAAAATCATTCGATTCATGATACATTAATTTAATACACAGTATCATAGATACAGCATACTATAGCATCACAATTTCCACCACATACTGTAGCATCACAATTTGTATCAGAACTGTTACTTTAATCACTTTCCTCTCTGAGAAATATTTGTTCAATTCTTTTGTGTCACAATTTCCTATTTCTTCTCCTTACTTTTATCAAAAAACTTCAGAATATAGCTTTCCTCTTTCCTGCTATCAATTTGTCATCATTGATCTTTATTTGTAAGTATGGTTTCTGATTTCCAGTCTTTCTAAAATCACACAAGTCAACTTGCCTCAAAAACTCAGATGCAGCTACATACTTACTCATCTCCACATTCTTCAGTCCCTTCACATTTGGCACTATAAAATTTGACTACCTTCTTCAAAGTGTTTTAAAAATCTGTGACATAATACTTTCTTAGTTCTTAAGCCAAACTGAACTATCCTCAGTTTTCCTGTATGTATACATTTCAATCAAATATCAATCAATCTATATTCTCCCCAAATTCCTGTCTTTGAACAGCTACAAATATTATTGCACTTTTCCTCTTTGTGAATTCTGATGTATTATTAGAAATTATTCTGTTATCTCATGATACCTTGTTCCCCACAATATACCTATTCACAGTGCTTAAAAAAAAATTTGCTTCCCACATACATTTATTATGCAAATATAGACAAAGTCCATCAATATATTTAGTAAGTTTTTGAACTTAAAAAGAGTATAATTATTCTTACACGGTGTCTATGAAAGTTTTATAACAGGTGGGAGTTTGAAACGTGGAGCACCAGGTCTGCATTTTGTAAGATGGGTTAGAACAAAGCACTTCATAAAGGTCTTGCTTCTGAGGCCACCCTCACCCATGGCTTAGACAGCAATGGGTTTCTTATTTTGTTTATGATGAGTTTATGGAGAGACATCCTGTGCTATTTATAACACTGAGAGAGGGCATTTTATGTAAATGTGATATTGATAATGTTAGAGTATAGAGAGCTCTGGTAATTCACACAGTATGAATTTCTAGGAAAACATGTACAGTAACAGGACCTCATCCACTCTTCTGTACAACTGATAATTCTTGTAATCCACAAACAAGCCCCCAAACTTGAGTTAAAAAAAAATGAGGCAAAAACATATTTTAAAAAGCAGCGCTGATTTATTTTTCCCTGGGCCCAGTGACACAGTGCAGTAGGAGATTGCAAAAGCTGTGTGTCTCCCTCCTCTCCACTTGCCATGCCCCTAGTCCCTATCACAGCTCACAAAGTAAAGGTCGTGGGCGTGGATCAGGAAATAGGCTAATGGGGAAGATTCTGTTTTTCTGAGCAGAGAATAGAGGAGTCTAGTAGCAATTAACAACCTTTGTTAGCTTATTTTAGCACCACATATGTTATTTGTAGAGGGCAACAATGGTTAACATATCAATTAGGTAAGATTTTACAATTCTTTACAGAGGAGAGCATTGATTAATGTATCAATTAGGTCACCTGAGGAGGAAAGAAAACATATAGACAGTATGGCCACGTTACAGGTATTTTGGTTTAATACAAATATGACAAAGTTCTTTTTTTCTAGAGTACAACATTCCCCACTGATTTTAGTGAGTCAAATCATTGACTCATAGGTATCTGTTTATAACCTTGCATGCATCTTTAAAATCATAAGCTTTTAAGATCTTTTACATAGCTTATCAACTTGTTTATATTATAAAGCCCAATAGGAGGATTAACAAAGGTCTTGCAGCTGTCATTATTAAAGCTGTTAACCAAAAGGAGAAAGAAAACCAACATTTAAATTTACTCTATTCCATCATACAAGTAACAATTTTTTTTCTAAAGTCAGACAGAGACCTCCTTGGGGTCCCTATAAGGGAGAACACAAGATTATCAGTTACATTTGGCAATCTTAAGCTTTAAAGAGTCTTTGGAGGGAACAGTCTACTTATCCATACATAGATTGCCTTTGGGAGCTGGGATCTGCTTGAAGTGGGAATGATGAATCTAGGCAGGCTTTTTGGCCATCATCACAGCTCAAGAGATTCACGGTGATGTCACTTGATAAGTGAAAGGGTTGCTGGCCCAGGCCAGATACTGTAGCCGGTAAAACCAAGGAGCTCCTATCTCCCCCCACCCTTAGGAATTACCTCTGGCACCAAACTAAGACCAATGAGCTACTTGTGCATCCTTAATGCCCCCTTGGGTTCCACCCCAGGCCAAGGCTACTTATGTGCCTCACTCCACGTGTTCCATGGAGAGATCGCCGGCCCCGGAGTGGAGATGCAACACCCCAGGGGGTCGGGGGCATCTCTTCCCGCATTCCCAAAATAAAGGTTACTTATATTTTATACTTCTTATCTTTTCAGCTGCCGCCGGTCCTCCTCCTCTTCTTCCCCCCTCTACAGTTCTATCAGATGGTGCTGTGACTGGGAACAGCAGGTGAGAGCCTCCTGGGGCTGTTTCCCAGTTTTGAGTCCCCTGCTGTTCAGGACCCACTGGACTGCATCCTGTAATTCCTCACTTCTACACTCACAAATTCTAAGCTTGACTGCTGCTTCTCAAACAACACCCACCAATTTACCACAGGTGAGCAACTCCCTGGAGACAGCCACTGAGCCAGGCTCACGTGGATTTTCTCCCCTCTTTGAGTGGGTTCGTGACCCTTTCATGTCTTTTAGACAGCCCAAACCTAGGCCCTCACATTTTTTCCAGAGCTTTTGGGGCTTTCTAGGCAAGCTGATGACGACTCTGGACAGCCCACACTGAGAGACCCTCACTTTAAAGCTTTTTATATATCAGTCGGTCTGGGGTACAATGTGACGACTCTAAATCCTAACAGACCACGGTCCATTGCCTCATCTGATTGTAGTCCCATGGCTAGACTCCACACCAGATTTTATCTCAGGGACTACTTCCTGTCCCCCCCCCACCAAAAAAAAACCATAACTATTTATGGCTTATCACACTGCAAATAAACTTACAAAACTCTCTTATCTTTGCTTTGGGGATGTGCCCCTTTCCTGCCAGCTTCTCTGTCCCTTTGTCTCCTCCAGGATCCCTCCCCCTCGCCGCACTTAAAGAGATAACAGATCTTCCCTTGCAGTCTTTAAAGAGTTTTTCTCAGTGCCTCCTTTTCTCCTGCTAAGCCCCAACCATGCTGCCAGTGTCTCTTTGTTTCCCAGCGCATGCTTCCTCCCCCCCACCACGCTGCCAGCTTCCTTTTGTTTCCCGTGCGCGCCAACCCATCCCCCACCGCCTACATTAAAATGAGACCAGATGATAAGAGATTCACATAAAACTGCTTTAGATTTTAAACAGCTTTTTTTCTTTTTGCTCTCACATCGTGCTCCAATTCTGTGGGCCCCACAGTTTCAGCTCCTCATCCAACCCATCCCACGCCATGCCAGCTCATTCATGCTGGTGCTCGCCCATTCCGCCACTGAGAGATACGCACAATACTGTCCACACCATTGGTTCAGCTTTTGGTGCAGCGTCCTGGGCCATGGGCCCCTCACAAATGCGCCGGCTCCTACAGGTTGCCGCTCGCTGGCTGCCAGTCTTGCGCCTCTGGGAACAGAGCCCACTTGGCCTCAGGCTATGTGTCTCCCAGCCCCACCACCACCGCAGCTCCTGCCCCCATAGCCCTTCGTGCTGGGCACGCCGCCGCTGGCATCCCTCTGCGGTGCCGGGCACACGCTGCCGCCACTGTCCCACCATGGCACCGGGCGCCACCTCTCACCACCACTGCAGGCCTCCAAGCCCCCCCCCATGCACAGTCACAGCTGAAATACATTATTTCCCTGCGCTGTCTTAGCGCCGTCATAGCAGCTTCTAGGTGGGATTTCCCTGTGCTGTCTTAGCGCCGTCATAGCAGCTTCTAGGTGGGATCTCTGCCCGCCCCTGCGCACTATGTCCCAGTGTTCGCCCGCCCACTCTGCCTGTTCCATGCCAGCCCACCCCTGCACACTGTGTGGTGGCACTCACCCCGCCCCAAGCACAACTCTGCTTTCTCCCTACAGGCGCAATCTATCTCAGAGTTTCAAACTGCCTTAAACACTGTGCGTTTCCAAAGTCTCGCGGCTCCACTCAAACATTTTTTTTTACAATTCAGTTCCACTCAAGAGAGGCTATTTTTTCTTACAATTTTTCTACCATTTATTCAATATTACTGGCCACCTGATTGATAAACCTTTACTGCAAAATGTTTCCATTAAAGCCTTTTTTGTTAATTCCACGTGACACCCTATTAAAAGCAGTATAACATCCAGATAAAGCCTGCCTTATAATCTTAAATGCCAATATTAAGGTTCTACATACTTAATTCTATAGATAACTTTTACTATAGTCCAGATCTCAAACAACAAGGTAAAACTTGACCTTCAAACTCCACAGAGACATTGATATGGTTTTTCATATTTTAAATAACACTTACACTTCTGAGACAAACAAATCTACATAAGGTAAAGCTACCTGCCCCCCTGTCATGGGCCACACTCAAATGCAGCAGAAGACATCAGACAAAATACCCCATCCTGGCATTCTTTGAGACCTTACTCCAGGGCTGTGGGGCTATCCTGGCCACCAGACAGTGGCTGGGCCATCCTAACTTCTAGCCCTCACAGGTCACTGCCAGATTTGTCACTGACAAAAATTGCTGCCAGAGGCTGACAGGGGCCAACCGCCTTTGTGGGTGTCTGTCTCAGATTCCAGGTCACATTAAAACTCTCAAGGTAAGACATTCTCTATATTTGTGGACATAAAGGCCACATATACAGAGTTCTTACTGAGTTTTCAGGCTAATAAATCCTCAATGTCTCACGGAGTATTAAAGGTCAACCTATGCCAGTTGCAAACAGGGCCTATTTTTGTGCATGTCCCAGTCCTCTCCTTCCTCCGACACCTGTTCTAACCATTCTTTTGGTACTCATCTCTGCCTTATGACTCACAGGTTGTCATGTTTTGTTATCCACTTTGGTACTTAATTTCTTACATTCTATTAATGATCATTTTTATAGCAAGACTCTTTAACAGGATTGCCTACATCCAACGTCACATATACCAGAGACAAGCCTTACCTACCTACCTTTTAACTTTTATGCTTTCATATGGGGGAATAAGCACCTCTCATAACTTCACTCCTCCTAATCCCACGTTTAATTTTTCAGAATTCTGCCTTGCCATAAAAATGTTCCTACCTCAATGTCATCCTGATAGAATTACATGTCTATCAGGGAAAGACACCTTTCCCTCTACCTCACTTGGGTCCGTAAATATGACAGTGCCATGTCTCCTCATATCATCTTGTCTCTTTGTTTTTTCAGTCTAACATAAGTGCATTCACCAGGGAAGTTGTCCTGGCTAAAACTCCTGGCACCAGCTTCTACCTAGACATCAACTGTCATCCCATCGACTCCCCTAGACCCCAGTACAGCGCCCTCAGCCAGCAGGAAGTTGGTAAAGAGAAAAATCTTCTCCCCTTTTCCTAATAATCATAAGACAGGATATGAAAGGGTTGCTGGCCCAGACCGGATACTGTAGTTGGTAAAGCCAAGGAGCTCCTATCTCCCCCACCCTTAGGAATTACCTCTGGCACCAAACTAAGACCAATGGGCTACTTGTGCATCCCTAATGCCCCCTTGGGCTCCACCCCAGGCCGAGGCTACTTCTGTACCTCACTCCACGTGTTCCATGGAGAGATTGCCGGCCCCTGGGTGGAGATGCAATGCCCCAGGGGGTTGGGGGTATCTCTCCCTGCATTCCCAAAATAAAGGTTACTTATATTTTATACTTCTTATCTTTTCAGCTGCCACCGGTCCTCCTCCTCTTTTTCCCCTCTACAGTTCTATCAATAAGGACCAGTGATGTCTCAGGCTCTACAGCAGGGCATTTGTCCTCATGGAAATAACTGGTGGATGGAAATCAGAACTGGCTGAAAAGTCTGGGAGGGACTTAATATCTTGATGAGGTAAATCAGCTAACTTTTTTTTTTTTTTTTAGCAACTTTAAGGAGAAGAGGAAGAGGTCTCCCATACAAAGGGGAAATACTTGCAACATAGCGGGTACATTGCGCACGCAAAAGAGCAAAAGGAAAGAGACTCACCCAGTTTTTAAGGCCATTAGTAATTATTGTCTTTTAAATCTGATTTATCTTTTTTACTTGTCCTGAACTTTGAGGCCAGTAAGCACAATGGAGTTTCCAATTGATCTGCAAAGCTTGGTTAACTTTTGAGTTATCTGTAAAAGCTGGGCCATTGTCAGACCTCACAGATAAAAAGGGAGGCCAAATTGGGGAAATTGTTATCAGGCCTGACTCAGACTCAGTAGGCAATGCTTTAACCCTTCTTGTAAAAAATAACTATCATTATTAATAAGTACTTATTTTTTTGAAGTCCAGGCTTTTTTATTTTTGTAAAGTCTATTTTTCAATGTTTTCTTTTTTAGGCATAGTCTCACGTAGCAAGCAGCTTCTATTTGTTGCAGTTGTTTTGGGTTCACCAATTGGCACTGAGGGCATCTGAGGCTCATAGACTGGGCTAGCTTTGATATTAGCCCCCAGGGATAGTTCAGAAGTTGAGCTGCCAGATGTAAGTTTTTTTAAGTGCAAATAGGCTCTGACAAAGTAGGTGGGATCAGCAGTAATATCAGGACTTTCTCAATCCCCACTGATTTTGTGGCTGCCTGTTGGGCAGTGGCATCCGCCAAATTATTTTTGTATTAACAAGGTCATCTACTACAGTGGACAATAGCCACTCTCTTTGGCATCCAGATGGCAGCCAACAAGTTTAAAATTTGCAGAGCATTTCTAATCTTTTGACCCCAGAAGTCAATAAGCACCATTCTTGATAAATGGCCCCATGGTCATGGGCAGTAGCAAACGCATACTTTGACAACTTGAGGCCTCAGTGAGGGCAAAGAGTTTAGCCCATTGGGCCAATGTTTCTGGCTCCAGTGTTGGCTTCCCATAGAATTGGAGAGTCTGTGGTAACAGCAGCTCCCACAACCCACTTACCTTGATAGATGTAACTGCTTCCATCAGAGAAATAGGATGGAACTCCAGATAGTGGCTTATCCATTAGTTCAGGTTGAAGTCCCATGAGGTGATGGATGACCTCAGTACAATTGTGGTAAGGCAATGAGAGGTTGTCGTCAGGCAGCAAAGTAGCAGAGTTTGACAATGCTCTTCCCTTGAAATTGATGGTAGTCAGATCTAGGAGTAATGCTTGATAATACATGACTTAAGAGTTGGGCAGCCATTGGTTCGGCGGGCCTTGATGAGAGTCTCCAGTGAATAGGAGGAAACAAGAGTTTCTGTCTAAAAGTCAATTTTTAAGCTGCTTTTACCAGGAAGGCCACTGAGGAAACCACCTGCAGACAGGATGGCCATCTGGCTGCCACATAATCAAGTCTCTTAGAAAGATAGGCAAGAGGCCTCTTCCCAGGTCCTAAACTCTGTATCAGTCCTGTGGCTCCTAGAAATTTTTGCACCTGCCTTTTAGTCACAGGGACTGGAATCTTTTGGATGGCTTGCATTTGCTGCGATGAAAGAGTCTTGATTTTTTTTTTTTTTTTTTTTTTATGGAGAGAGTCTAACAACCAATGTAGTCTTTTTGCCCAGCAAAAACCTCTTAAGCCTGGTCTTTTTAGGGTCCTCAAGGTTGTCAAATATCTTTTAAGCAACCTCTAATAACTGACTGAAGGGCATTTTTTAAAATTTCTCAAACTTTTTGCAATTTTTGTCTAATGTATGGGGCCAACTGAATTGCAAAGAGAACAACTGGCGATACTGGGGAATCTCCTTACCTCTGGTTATTCAATCGGGGTGGAAAAGGAAAACATGGTTCTGGCACTCCGGATCAGAGAGCAGGCTTCATCTGGATGGCACACCACTTTTTGTCCCAGGGTATCACGTGTCAGGCCATTGTTTTACTGAAATTATCTACTTAACAAAAAAACCGCTTTTTTATAGGTAACAAAATTAATTGTGCTGCATAATCTCCCAGATGTCCATAGCACATGCAAGAACTTGTGTTTTATCTCTATAATCACCAATCACATTAGCACAATAGTTCTTTGTTTTAAATTTAGATCGGCTTTTTCCAGGACAAGATGAATTGTTTCTTTTACATTTTTACTTTAAGACAAAACCACCTTTAAAAAAAAATTATTACCAATTACTTTTTCTCTTGCTTTTTAGACCACATTAAAATCTTTAACAAAATCTTTGAAATGACCTTTTTAGTAGTCTAAAACATATTTAATCATTTTATGTCATTTTACCACATTAAAATGCTACATTTAAAAAAATTTGTAACCTTTTTAACTGACTCAATTACATTATGACCTGGCTTTTACTTGGTAAAATTAATATGATTTTTAAAAACCATAAATATACATATATATGTGCACATATGTTTACATTTTAACCAGAAAGAAAAATACTTTTTAAAAAAAGGCATGCCCAGGTTGCAAGTAATCAACTGAGGACTAAAACATTAAACAAGGCACCACAAAAGACAAGACCAACATTAAAGACACAAATGAAGGTTTTTTTGTCCGCAGTTTGGTGAGCTAAAGGAAATAATTTTTATTATGAACCTTGAGTCCAATGAGCCACATGGATCCTGCAACAGAAATGGCCAAGAGCCCCTAAGTTAGTAATAAATTTAACAAGTTTAAATGGGCAAAAAAAAAAAACCCAAAGTTAGTAACAGATTTAAACAGGCAGACAATTCCAAAGTACAAAAACACTGAACATAAATACACAGGGGCAAAAGGCCCCAAAGTTACGGATGGGCCGAAGCCCCAAATGGGCGAAAACCCCAAATGGGCTGAAACCGCACACATGGGCCAAAACCCCAAATGGGCCAAAGACCCACACACATTACAAACGGACAATAATCTTCCGGATTCTGGTGCAGAAGGAGCCCTAGCTCGTCTGCAGTCATTGCACGCATCCAATTACAAATGGGCAAAATCCCCCATATGGGCCAAAGCCCAAACAAAGTTACGAATGGGGCCCAAAAGCCCTAAGATACAAAAGGGGGGAAAAGGCTCCCAGAAGTTGTCTCATTTTATCTGCAGTTAAAAATGTGCACACTCAGATTATAAACAGGCAAAAAAACCAAATACTGACAGATGTTTAGCAGATTGATCGGTGAAAAAATAATTTGGGGAGTCCTCCATTAATCCCAAGTGATCCCCCAATCTTGTAATCTACAAACGAGCCCCCAAACTTGAGTTCAAAAAATGAGGCAAAAACATATTTTAAAAAGCAGCGCTGATTTATTTTTCCCTGGGCCCAGTGACACAGTGCAGTAGGAGATTGCAAAAGCTGTGTGTCTCCCTCCTCTCCACTTGCCATGCCCCTAGTCCCTATCACAGCTCACAAAGTAAAGGTATGGGCGTGGATCAGGAAATAAGTTAATGGGGAAGATCCTGTTTTCCTCAGCAGAGAATAGAGGAGTCCAGCAGCAATTAACAGCCTTTGTTAGCTTATTTTAGCACCGCATCTGTTATTTGTAAAGGGCAACAATGGTTAACATATCAATTAGGTAAGATTTTACAATTCTTTACAGAGGAGAGCATTGATTAACATATCAATTAGGTCACCCGAGGGGGAAAGAAAACATATAGACAGTATGGCCACGTTACAGGTATTTTGGTATAATACAAATATAGCAAGGCTCTTTTTTCTAGTGTACAACAATGACCAGATGGAAACCAAGGGTGGCGGGGAGAAACTAGAGAGACTAACAATAAGCACAAGGTGATATAGGGGGATGAAACACCCAACCTAGTATGTTTGTGAGTTCATTTTCTCAAAAATCGAAGAATGAATTTTAGGAACAATGACGATTAAGAGCAGAATATATTTACTGAGAGAAAGAAAGCTTCTGTTTGAGAGAGAGACTGAAGGGGACCAGAGCAGGTTGCCGAAGACTCTGTCTTTTCCAGGGACTTTTATAGAGCAAAACCATGGGTTCAAGGCAGGGTAGGGGGTGTGGGTGTGGGTGGTGGGTTAGGGGGGTGGGACTGGGAACTCACAAGGCAGATGGGCTTAAGGTGGGACATAACTATAGTTAGCCACTAAGATTAATAGTTCAGGTAAAATTGATTACATTAGGGACAAACAGGAAAGCAAGTCAGGTAGGAAGCATTATTGGAGCTGTGACCTTTCCCTCAGGGGATGGGATAGTGACTGCGGGATGATAGGGGACTAATTAGAATATCAGTCTTTGGGATATGGATGTATTTGTTTGATCCTTGAGGCCTGGCCTACAGCAGGAGGTATCTGTCTCCCCCACAGTTGCAAAGTATCTGCACTGGCTCCTTTGAGGACCTAACCCTGTCTCTCTGCCTATAATATTTCTAACTAACTTGGCTGCCTGCAATGAAGGGATATAGTTTATTTTTGTGGAGTAAGGCATTATTTTTCCAGCAATTTCCATAACAAGTCTACATTATTATTATTTCTCTAATCCTCAAGTGATAAAATATTCATTAAAAAGAGGTTATTACTGATCATAATGGTGTAAACTTGTAATCCTGCTTAATTGAGAGACCTAGGCAAGAGAATCACAAGTTTGAGCCATTCTGGGTGACTTAGTGTTATAACCTATATGTCATAAGTCTCCATGGAGGCAAGAAAAAGATCAAAGGTAGCTCTTAAGAGCAGAACAGATGTCTTCCTAATCTAAACTTGCTTGTTTACAGGGAAACTTGCTTCTTTGCAGGGTAACTTGCTTGCTTGCAGGATGTGCCTTCCCCCAGAGGATGTTTGCCTAATCTAAACTTACTTGTTAGCCCAACCTTACTCTTCCCAAGAAATGTAATCACTGTTTTCCTGTTCTGTAGTGCACCAAAAACCCACCCCTCTCCTTGCATTGTGAGACCAGCAGCTGTTTGCAGTTTTACAAGATTAAAACCCTGCCCTTTAGCTGTTAGGCCCACAGTCTTCCATATTGGCTACCAGAGGCTGTGTTGCCAGACCTGGCCTAAAATACAGCCTTTGCTCCAAATTTCTTAATTTCTTGCTTCCTTGGATTTTATTCCAGGGTCCGAGCTATCACACTTAACTCTGCTAAACCTTTTACTTCAAATAAATTTTTTCAACCTACAGTTTAGAATGTGAAACCCACAGTTTATAATTCTGGTATTTATAAACAACAAGAAGTGGAGGCACAGAGATATTATGTGATATCATAATGGTTCATTCTAATTAATACATTGTTGGGAATGGGACTAAATTTTCTTTTAACCTCAAAAGTGTCTTTTAACCTCAATAGTGTCCATGTCCTTTTTGGACACTTGGAGGGTTTTTTTTTTTGCAATATATTTTGTGCCTTGACAAAAAAAAGTCATATGGTACTATCAATCTTTTGGTAGATGGTAAAGAGATAAATTACTGAAAACATATTTGCAAAACAGGAAAATATCTAACCATGATATTAATGACTAAGTCTAATTTTCTGAGGCACTTTAAAAAGGAAATAAGACAGCTAATGATAGGAGTTAGGATACAAGCACATAGTTATGGCTATGATTCCTGGAAGGAATTAATGCAAGCAGAATAAAATGCTCTGAGAAAACAATGTCTCCTGGCATCTGGAGAGGTTTTTGAGGAATTTAGGAATGCTGAGCAACTGGACTTTTGAATTTCACATGAAAGCCCTGAGCCCTAATTGGTCAATTTAAGCCAATGGGACCATGTCTGATGGGCACCTGCCAGACACTGAGCAAAATCCCATACTCCACTTACTGTTAAGAACATCTAGACAAACCTTCACCAGCAACCCTTTTGAGCCCCCTGTTGGTTAGCAAAAGCTTTTGCTTTGTCTGTCTTTACTATCCCAATGAGTGTCCTTATTTGCAACTTGACTCCTTTGTGATTTCATTCTTCAGATTTTGAGATATCAACCCTGTGTTTCAATAACGTCTTTGGGGATCATCTGGGATCTCAATGGAGGTAAGTGATATTTCTGTTTTCCTATCCCTTTTTACTTTTACTTCATGGCATTCTGTCTCAGGCAATACCAGCACCCTGTCAACCATTTAAGAGCCACTAATGCAGCTGTCAATCTTAGGAATCAGGAGACTGGCTTCACTGATGTGACCTAGGCTGATCCCTTCTCATGCAGGTTGAAGGGATTTTGGACTAGTCTTGCCTCAGTTTTGCTTTCTGATTTCTTTTATCCACTAGCGATTCTCAGCCCTTGAAGTTATGTCTGGAGGATCTGGGACCAGATTCTTCAGAATCTTCTCTCAAACTCCTAGTTATATTTGATATAACTTTCTTTTTTTCACTTGCTTCCTTGATTACATCAGAAAGCCTACCTACCCCCTTATTAGGGAAAGTTGTTTATACTGTTTAAGTATCACCAGTCTCTTGGCACTAGAACCAATACTTTGATTGCCACTAACAAAAGCAGAAATTAATCTGGAGTCACAGGCACACAAAGAAAAAAGCAGGATGCCCAATAGAGGACACCCCAGTACAAATCCACCTTAAGTACCAGACCATCTTTTCCAACCAGAGACATTACCTTTTAAATCTGGAGCCAAAAAGGGCTCACAGACCCTGGAAGATAAACTAAAGTCACAAGGCCTTCTGAAACCCTGCAAAGTGTCCCTTCAATTTCCATATTTTTGGAGTGAAAATATCCGATGAAGAATGAAGATTATTCCAAGATCTCCAAGTGATAAATGAAGCTAAGGTGTCATTATGCCTTGTGGTACATAACTGTTATACTTTACTATGTCAGATTAAGATTGGTTCAGTCTTAAAGGATGCCTTCCTCCGTATACCTGACTTATTTTTGTTCCCTGACTTACAATTATTTTTGTATCTGAGGAGCCCTCTTACCAGTCTACCCAGCTAACTTGAATATTTGGTCCTGCCTCAAGCTTTCAGAGACAGCCCCTACCTATTTATACAGCCCACATGAAGAGACGTTTCCTACTTTGACTATCTAAAAGTACTTATTCAATGTGTAATGACTCCATCTTTTCTTTTCCCTAGGAGGTAACCTCAAGTCTGGCCACTCAGGTCCTGTTAAATTTCCTGGCAAAGAATGGATACAAGGAGTCTCAGTCAAAATCACAACTTTGTCACTCCTCTGTCAAATATTACAGCTTAATCTTTTCTAGGGGTCCTCGAAAGTTTTAGGGGGGAATGTATTAAATTCATTTCCTTCTTCCCACTCCTCATAACAATAAAACAAGAAAGGGAATTCTTGGACATCACTAGTTTTTGCTGCTTATTAATCCCTGGATATGGTAAACTGCATAGTTCCTGTACTGGTTAATCTAGGAGATTCAAGCAGCCAATGCTCACAGACTAAAATGGGAATCTGAGGTCCAGTTAGCCTTTAAGAGACTCAAACAGGCCTGTCTCTAAGTGTCAGCATCGAATTTTCTTGTAGGAAAGCACTTCAACTTGTAAAGTTTGAGGAAAACCAGGATAGTTTTGGAAATCCTAACCCTAGACTGAGGCCCTGTACAACAATCTGGGATACCTGAGCCAAGAGCTACATATAGTAGCTAAAGTCCACGGCCAGCTTGCCTATGAGCAGTAGCAGGTATGGACCTCCTATTTTGCAGAGGCCTTGCAACTGACTTTTTGAAAGTCAACATATATATTTTTACTCCATAGTATGGCTAGACTCTTCTCACCAAAGGGAAGACATGGCTTTCAAATGATTGCCTTCTGAAATAACTGGCCCTCTTTTGCAGGGAGCATTTATTCAGTTTAAAACCTGTTCCTCTTTAAACCCTGCCATCATCTTCCTTCCAGAAAGAAATGGCACCTTGGACCCTGATTGTCCAGAAGTGATTCTTCATACATGTGCTGCTAGAGAAGACCTTAAGGATAACCTCCTAGAAAACTCAGATTTGATTTTTTTTTGGTGATTTGGGAGTTCCTTTATAAAGAAGAAATATGCAAAGCTGGAAATACAATGATGACCTTACAGCTCACAGTCAAGGACTTCTTCCTTGCTTCTGGAACAGCACCCAACTTGCAGGACTTTTAATTCTTACTAGAGCACTAGAAACTAGCAAGGGACAAAAAGCCAGCACTTCTGCCAATTGTAATTATGCCTGTTTGGGGCTACATGCTCACACAGCCATATGAAAAGATAGACATTTTCTATCAGCCAAGAAGGTTCCAATTAAATATCATAAGGAGATTGACATATACTTGTCCTAAGTCTGTCTCCTGTCTGAGTTAATAGTCACACATTGCTGGGGCCACCAAAAGGGAGTGGATGAGTTGCTCAGGGAAACCAGGTGGCTGACCTGACAGCCAAAGCAGCTGCTCAAAAGCCTTTTTGCTCGGAGTTCATCCTGATTTTTGCAGAGCTTTCTGGGAGATGCCGAGCCTAATTACTCCAGAGCAGAAATACAGTGGGCCCTCTCTTAGGGATACCAACTCTTCCCTTCCAGATGACAGAGGGCAACAAACTACTCATACCCATAGATAGTGGAAAATCATTAAAACTCTTCATTAGGCATTCTCCTTGGGAAATGAAAGATCTTATTGTGGGAAAAATGTTATCAGAAAGGGGCTCCTTTGCATGGCTCAGGAGGTTGGACAACCCCGTGAGATGTGCTAAGTGAGCAACTCTATCAATAAAATGATCTCATTTCCTGGTAGCCAATAAAGTGAGGGTTATTTAGGGAAGGACTGGCAAGTAGAGTTCACTCATGTGCCCCAGATTAAGGGGATCTAGTATCTCTCAGTATAAGTTAATACCTTCACTAGTTGGGTGGAAACTTTCCTTTGCAGAATGAAAAAGCCTTCAAAGGTGTAAAGATTTCAACCTCACCAGTTATTCCCACATTCAGGCTTCTTAGAAGCCTTTAGATTGATAACAGCTCCCTCCCCATTTAAGGCTGCTGTTACCCAGGGTTTGTCTCAAACCCTTGGAATCCAATATGATCTACATTGCATGTGGAGTCAGAAGTAGAGGAAGTAAACTGTATTCTTTTTTTTTTTTATTTAGACAAAGAGCAAAATAGAAAAAAGGGTAGAAATGATACAGAATTTCAAAAAATAAAAATAAGAAATCATCGGTAGTTAATATATTACATATTGTTATCTTAGAAGTAGTTGTTCAAGTACAAAATAAAAGCATAAAAAATGAACAATCAAACAATGTCAGCAAAAACTATTCATTTTAATGAACCAACAAAAACTTAGTATTAGGTAAGCTATATTCTTAAAAGCAGCTCAGAATGCTTGCTTAGCAAACCTTCCTTCCCTGGGCCACTTTACTTCCACTAGACCCTATACAAATGAACAACTAATCCTCAGACATTAGGACTTGGCCCTTTCAGCATGCTATGTGGGCAAATACTCCTCGCCAACGACTTCCTGTTTGACTGAGAAATTGTTGCCAAAATTAGGGCTATTATAGCCCTTGCCAAGTTTCAATAGACTCTCTGATAATTACCTGAAGCACACCTGCTGAGAGTGGACCTCCCTTGCATACTGGAAGACCTGGCACTGTTAGTGTCTCTTTTCTTCCTTTCTCCCTCTATAGCCTGCATAGGAAGGACCATATGTGGTGAACTGTCCACTCTGTTGACTGTCAAGGTAGCTGGAATTGCATCCTGAGTATATCACTCTTAAGCCATGGATTTTAGAGATTACTGAAAAATAAAGAGATAGACTGATATTCCTATAAACATTTGGAGGACCTGATACTTAGCTTCAAATAACATCAGGCACTCAGGAGATATCTGATGATAAAGATGTTTTAATCATCCCCTGTTCTACCTAGTCTTGCTCTTGGGAATGTTTGTAGCTCAATGTGCCTGCTCCCAAAAGGGTAGAATTATTTCAGTTGCCGAAGTATCCCCAAGCATGGGAGACATTATTATCATCTTTCATATTCACATTCTTCTTCTCTTTACTCATTGTTGTAGTCAGGGTTTGCAAGGAAAACAATTTAATACAGGACTCATGATTTACAAAATTATTTTATAATAATCACTCAAAGAGTCAAATACAAAAAAAAGTGTAGGAAATCTGTCCTCATACTAAAGACCCAAAGAATCTAGCTGAGAGCCTGAATCTCATGGCAATAGTCCAGCTGAAGACCTAGAGCCCTTGACAATACCTTGACAAGTCCAACTGGAGGCCTATAGCCCATGACAATGACTTATGCAAGTCTGTTTCATAGATCTACATTGGGAAGGCCCAAAGGTCAGCAGTGGATGCCATGAAGTCTGTGCTAGTGGGGTGAAGGATCTATGCTAGCAAGCTCAGTGTTCTGCACTAGAGCAGAGATGCTCAAAGGACCAGAGCTCCACAGCCATCCAGAGTGACAATGCAGGCCCAATCTCCTCCAATAATGAGAACAGCCAAGTTCATATCAGGAAGCCAGCATGACATTTTCTCCTGAAAATTGAATAGCATAACCATTTTCCCCTCTGGAGCCAGGAAGCGATGCTCAAGTTAAGGACCAGAGCTTCCCTAAAAAGTGAACTACAGTCATTCTCAGTGGTGGCAAGGTCCCAAGCTCTTCTGATGATGAGAACAACCAAGTTCATATCAGCAAAGACGCTCAACAAGTTCCTCCAAGAGAACCCATGGCAACAGAAGAACAAACAATACCACACTTCCTCTCCAGTTCTCTTTTTTATGTTGGAAACAATCCTCAGGTGGATTATCCACCCCTAGTACCACACTGATTTAGCTCAGTTGGGCCCCACAAGTTGAGCATAAATTTTCAATCCACCACATTCCTCTTCCTCAATCTAGTACTATCAACATTCCCTGACACAAGACATTTAACACACAGCCAGGAAACTATTTTAACTGTGAGAGTAGTTCACAAGGAAGAGCTGGCACCAAAGGCCAACTAGGAACCTTTCCTGAACAAATAGCTACTATCAATGTGTCTCGACATTGATTCTTATCTCTGAACAGGACAATAATGAACCCTCATGTGGTTTGGACCCTCCAAATTTCTAGGGTAGATCAATTGTCATACACTTAAAGCTCTTTTAATTTTTCCTCCCTACATCAAAATACAGGGCTTGTCATGAGTCAGGGTATATGCAACAATTCTTTCTATGCTCTCTGTCTAGGAAATAGACTCTCAAAACTCTTCTGGAGTTCAGTTTGTTCTTACAACTCTAATTACTATATTTGCAAAAATAAGTATGTCCCCTGGCAACAGTACAAAGAGAACAATTTGGATTATAGGGAAAATACTCTCCTGTAATTGTCCTAACACAAAGTCCCCGAAGAACCAACAGCAAGTAGAATGTTCTATCCCGTGGGGACACTCAGGACTCCCTCCCCGAGATGGAAGTGGATTTTATTTTTTATGCAGGTCATACTTATACCTGGTGCTGCTCTTTATATAGAAAGAGACCTCTACTGTGGTAGCAGCTATTTCAAAGACTAAAAATCTGAGTCCAAACTAAACAGCCTCTTAGGGCCAAATCCTCAATGTAGGGTACTTGCTGAACTAATTCTTTCTAACCCAGCATAAAAGAAGCACACCCAGTATGCCCTCTTGAAGAAATGGGGCTGGGGTGGACAGGCACACTGTCCTATGAATGTCCTATATTACAGAGCATATGCATAGGATACATAATTGCCAGGAGGGTCTTTTGGTCCATGGGCATTCCTATGTTAGAAATGCTCAGTGCTAAGACTCACTATCACAGCTGAAGTAATCATTCAGAATTGCTGAGTCCTTGTTTCTCTTATGGTCAAACATGAGCTTCTGCACTCATAAGCAAAATGTATAGTCTTCAGAAAAACAATTCACATAAAATGAAAGAAAATCTGAAGATAATACAGAGAAATACATATTTGTGATATGTCAACTTGACTTGAGTAAGAACTGCCTGGCAGGTTAGTGGAGCTCTGGGTATGTCTGTGGATGATTGGCTGAACACTGAAAGGGAAGATTCACTCAGGATATGGGTAACACCAACCAATAAGCTTGTGGGCTGCATATATAAAAAGGGGGAAAAAAGAAAAAAGAAAAGGAAGTCTTCCTTTGCTTCTTAGAGGAGCTCTGGCCTTTGCCGTTGCCTTTAGGAGTGTGTCT